GGAGAAGCTGTGATCACTCACACCTAAGCAAAACAGGTGCTAAATTTCGTTTGAATGTGTCCTTAGTTTCTTTTGCCTGAGTAGGATTGTTCTTGGTTTTCCTCATTGGTATTTTTGCCCAAATCTGGGCCAGTGGATCACTGGTTAGAGGAGGAAATAGGCATAGCATGTAAAAAAGAAAAGGAAATGGGCTGCTCACACTTCATGATTTTGCAATATTTTTGTGTTTGCAATATTTTTCTCTCTCTTAACATCCTCTATCTCCTCCACCACCAAGTGTTGTCATCTGGAGATGAAAGGAGAATTTGTCACCAATCTTTTGCTCTAGACAGCAGAGCGAATAGAGTATTCTAAAGCAGTCTGTGTGGTTCCTAAGCAAAACCTGGACATTTATTTGAAACAGAAGAGGCTTTCTGACTTCCATCAGTCTCCTAAAAAAAACTTTGACAGTGCCATAAACATAATCATTATGGAACTCTGAGTCTGACTATGTTTATATCTTACTCCCACTCAGAATATATCAACATATGTTATAATATATTTTCTAAAATTAAGAATAATCCTAAATCCTGCTTAGTCCAGATGATTACTTTTATTTTTCAAATACCTTAGTTATCTAAGTTAGGCCTTAGTAAGTAAGTTAATTTAAGTTATAAATTAAGTTATATGCTGTCTAGTGTTGTTCCTTTGCTAAACTGTTAAATTTAAATTATAAGACAAGTTGAAGTACTTTTGATTGCCTTTAAGTCTTTAGGCTATATTCTTTTTTGTCCTTGCCCTTTCTATCCTTTTGTCACATGCACCTAAACACACGCCCACCCGAGTTCTCAGTTTATTTCTGTTTTGATTGACTTTGTTGTTTTTTCTCTCAGAGTGCCTAAACCATCTCATAAGTAGCAGAGAAAACCTTTGCCAATGAACTCTGTCGTGCTGTCGCTTAATATTAAATCAAGTTATAACTGATCTCCTTGCTGGTGATTCTTTAAGTAAACTCAAACACTTGTTTGTGAGGCTGGGACCATACTGGGTGCTACTGGGAGCAACTGGGAATGGTGGGTGTGCACTGGAGGCAGCTGGGTTATATTGGGAGTGAAAGAGATCATACTGGGAGCTACTGGAAACATGCTGGGGCAACTTGGAGGATTGGGAATGAGCATGCTGAGCACCTGGGATATACTGGGAGTTAGGGCTAGGGTTTGGTTTAGAGTAACTTATATGTGTGTATATATATTTATATCCATACTCTCTTGTGCAGCTCTCCCATTACATTTTTTCAGGGATCTGTTATAGGGATAAACATTGCTACAGTTTCACAAATGTTCATGTGTCTTATTCAGAATAGAGCCTCTTGTTTGCTGCTCCTGTTTCTGATATTAAAAGAAAAAGGAAAGTAATTCAAAGGGAAAAGAGAGTAGAAATTTGACAGCTGTTGCAAAGGAGCAAAGAAAGTAGTGACTGGAAGAACCGTAGAAACCGTCCTGCTCATGTAGACCAGCTAGTGACAGTTATTGGAAATATTGGGAACACTTTATCCAAGCTTCATTTTATCCGCTTATTCACTTTATCCAGGAAAATGGAAGAGAAAGGTCAGTTCTGGGCAGTGAGTGCTTGGTACACGGCTATAATGGCAATAGTTCTTAATCTATGCACAGTGACTCAAAGCCAGGTCTCTGTGGTAAAGAATTCAGTGTAAAGACATGCTGCCCATGAGAAGGCAGGAATTGTGACTGAGACCACTTTCCATTGCCTGGTACCACAGCTCCTGCAACTTGTTAGTTCGTCACTTGCCATCTAATGACAGTTGAGGAGGATGACTGTGACAGACAGCTGTGTCTGTTAGCATCGAGAGAGAGCTTATGTCTGACCTACTTCTGGCAATGATTAACACATGATTTAGCTCTCATTCATTTCTATTCATGGTCATATATCTCACAGCTGTTGCTGAACACCAAGAATCAGGAAAGGTTTTTGATGACTCTATACAAATGCATCATCAAACGGTGAGATGTGATCATTTACAATAAGTTATGATTCTTGTTAAAAAATAAGAATACTTGCTCCCATTGCTCTGAAATTTTTATTTTTGTTTAACCACCAGCACATTAGAAATGTTAAAACAGTGATGGTGTATTTAATTTCTCATAAAAACTATCAATATGCTTATTTAATTTATCACAGCTCCTATGTGTTGAGATGAAATCACCCAATAATAATCAGTCTAATCATTATCTTTGAGATGTTTGAAAGATTTCCAATTGTACATATTCTTGTTCAACATTTTATTTTTACAGTGGAGACTGCATGATTCCTTCTCCAGTGTAATTATACCAAAAAGGGACAAGGTGCTTTCGCTGATTCAGAGTATAACATATTTACATCTCTGTCAGGATAACAAAGAAAAAGTTACAGATCTGTGGCCAGATGGGAATTAGGAGTGCTGCAATATTTCCCCATGCATGAACTCAAAAATCCATAGTTTTGTTAGGAATAACATGTGGAAAGTTCATTTGATGTTCAGTAGCAGCCTGGTAGTTGACCACATCTGGGCTGGGAGAGTGTCTCCACTGACTTAAAATGTTTCTGGTAGGTTTACTTATCTACCTATCTACATATCTAAAAATGCAAAGAAGCACATTGTGCAAGCATAGCCCTTTTGTGGGAGGTTTTAGAAGCTCTGAGTAATAGCAGGCATATGTGAGGGTTTTAACATTAACAATTTGCTTGAATTCAGACAGTACTTCAATTTTTGAAAATCTCTCCCATGATACCATCTTGAGATCCCCACAAATGACAAATATAAAATCTGGCTCATTTGAGTTTCTTTATTTCTGTCCCCTATAATTTTCTTTCCCTTGTTTGGTTCTTCTTCAATAACGATTGCTCCAAATATCAAAAGATTTTAACAGTACCTCCTCACCTCTCACTGATCTTTGCTCCTGCTCTGCAGAAATCTGACTGATGTAGACAAACTTGTAAAGGTGGTCAGATGCAAAAGATTTTCACAGCTGTCCTTGCTGAGAGCACTTCAGCTGGAAAAACGAGTTCTTACATCATAGGTTTTTTAAAGAGCAGATACAGAATTGGCAAAGAACATACAAGTATTTATTTACAAAGCTGATTCTACTAATCTATTAATCTATTCGTGGGTGAAAAAATTGTTCTGATAATTTAAGAAATTTGAACAAGGTGAGACTTGTGTTTCAGTCTTGTGAACGTTTGATATAATTTTGTTACTCTTAGATTTTTCTCAAAGTCCAGCAGGTAGGCAGAAATAATAATTTATTTTTTTAATATAATTGTAGGTTTATGTCCACTTGGGAAGAAAATAAAATGTGTGTGCCAATGATTCTTGAGAATTCTTTCTTCTGGGGAATCTCAGATTCTATTATAAACATGAAGAGCTCATATAAACAGCTGAAATCTGGAAGACTCAGATTTTCTCCTCATTATGTGCACATAAAGATAGATGGAGAGAAGATTCACCTTGAACAAGTCACTACTAACCTTCTGCTGAGCTTGAGAACTAGTAGGCTGCCCCAGTTTTTACACTGATAAAAGGAGTCTGGCCATGCTGTTTTCTCAAAATATGTTGATAAACTGTCTCTTCACAGCAAGAACACATTTAGCTGATACATCTGTTACTCAGATTGTCACATAGAATTAGCAAATCAATTCAAATATTAAGTATTTTATTGCTATCTAGGAGTCAGAAGCAAGGACTGGAGGGATCAGTCTTGGCACTATCTCTGCAGAATTTTTAAATGAATATTCTTAGAAACAACTGAGAAATATTCTCTAACAAGAGAAAGCTAAAGATGGCAAAAGGATTTTGCTCAACATTTATTTTTATTTTACTTAAAGTTTTATAAGTAGAAAAAAAAAAACTTTACAAGAGAGATTTAAAATCCAGCTGACAAGGGAGGTCAGAGTGATGGGGCTAACCCTGGTCAGGGTCCTGTCTGTGGGCCTGATGCAGTGGTTGCCTTGGTTTATTGGGCTATTCAGACACTGTTTGCTGCCCTTTGCTATTAACCACTCCTCAAACCTCAGAGGGAGCCGATGTGTGTTTTACAACTCTCTATCATAATACTTTGATGGGTTGCTGAAACTGTTTGCAAAATTGGATATTCTTAACATTTTGCAATTTTTTGATGGAGCTGACTTTAAGAAAAGTACACCTAAAACCCAACATTATAGAAAGGGAAAAGTTATTTCTATGTCAGCTGCAATCAGAAGCTGAAAATAACTTTATTTATTCTTGAGATCCCAGTGATGCCCTTTCTGATAATGAAGCCTGCTTGTATTTGTTAGTCAGTGAAGGATTCTAAGACAGATACCCTCTCTGTTCTTATGCATCAAAGATAATAATCCTGTTGACTTTTTCCAAAATATAAAATACCATTATCGATGCTCAAATAATCTGAATCTTTACCTGGGGATCTGAAGTGGAACCTGTCAGAAAAGAATTACGTGCAGAGCAGAGCAAATTTTTGTTGTGTGGATCTCTGTCTTTTCCATTGAAAGACTATAGCACAGAGCCTCAAGAAAAGATCTAGTCTTCCCTTGGTCACAATTTATATCTTTTCTCAAAAAAAAAAGAGAACAGGCAGGAAAAGTAGTGATGCATGTCTGATATTGATGGAAAGCAAGTATGTACCTCATCCATTGAAAACATTGATCAAGGCCACTTTGCTCTTTTTTAATGATGGCCCCATAAATCTGCCAGTATCAATGAAAGTCACTGTTATCTACTGAGGTTCTAAATGGCCATGCTAAGGAAGCTAAGCCGTAGCTAATGATTCTTTGCATCCAGGAGCTAAATTGCCATGCTCTCCCCTTTCAAAACTCTTCTGCATCTTGTTTAGTTTTTGTTTACTTGTTGGCTGTGTTGTTTGGTAAACTGCACATGAAGAAAACCAGGACACACAAAAAAAGTAAGAAATTCCACATACTCACAGCAATTTTTAATGAAGTGGTTTTATTTTGAAAAGCTCTTCTCTCAGTGGGTTTCAGTCAAGAAGGATGAGAATCCAACAGGATGTGGCTTTTTTCTGACAATACAGGCTATAGAATGTGGCAAACAAACTTGAATAAAGAAGACCTGGAAAAGAGATATTCCTGTTATATATCAATGTATAATCTGTGGTTCCATACCAAATCAGACACAGGATTCGTTTAGTAAACCAGGGCATTTGATTTGACTATTTAAAAATGCCAGACAATATATGTGGGTGCTAAGAAGATCTGAAGGAATGAAGAAGGAGGTGGAGTCAGGCTCATCCCAGCTCACAAACTAAATATATGGGCTTGTTTTCACCGCTGTACTCTTGGCCAGGAGCACAGTTACACAGCTCCCAGTCTGTCAGGGACTCATCAGCGACACCAGAGTAGGCTGAGGAATCTTTCCTGGGAACCTCAGTGGTTCCAAACAGGGTTTACCATTTCAATATTTTGTTCTACATATGTTCAGGATTGAAGTATATCCTCAGTGGAGGACTTCACCTCACACAATGGGAAGCAATAAATAACCCTTCTCTGAAGAGATGCTGAGAATATTTTGAAAAGGAAGTTTTCCTATTTTTTGCATCAAGAATATCAAAGAGATTCTCTAGACAGATCTGACTCTATCTTAGTTATCTTTGCAATGAAATCCCTCCTTAGCCTCACCCCAAAACACATTCCTGTGTAATATGTACATGAATCTCAGAAACAGATGGAGTATGCCTTACCCAGAATCTAATCCTAGTGAGGTAGAGAGGCCAGATGGTCTCACTTTCCAAATGAAAACTTTCAGAGAATCTTTAAACTAAGCAAAGATTTTATTAACATTGATGGCTAGATACAGTGTAATACACAGAGAAGATTAATTAGAAACCCTAATTAAATGTAACAGTGTAAAAGAACCAGAGCACTATTTGGCATCAAACAGCCTTTTAAGATTCTTGTTGGAACCTGGAGTCCTCAGCATGGCTGAGCTGCAAAGCGAACAACAGAAAAGCAGAAACAATGAGATTTACTAAAAGGTGCCAAACTCAATTCTACATGCAATCATTTCCTGTAGTTTTTTTATAGAATCATAAGAGGGTTGAAAGGAACCTTTAGAGGTCGTCTAGTTCATCCCCCTACCCCAAGGCAAGATCAGCTATACCTAAATCATTCCTGACAGATGTTTGTCTAACCTGTTCTTATAAAGCTCCAATCACAGAGATTCCAAAACATCCCTAGGCAATCTATTCTGGTGTTTAACTATCCTTGTTGTTTGAAAGTTTTTCCTAATGCTTAACTCTGAATCAACACTGCTCCAATCTAATCTTGCTATTTTTTCGTTCTATAGACCAAGGACATGGAAAAAGTTAATTCCTTTTTTTTTTTTTTTTTTTTTTAATCAGGTGCCTTTTGCAAATAGAAAGATGATTCCTATATATTCCTCCTATTTTAAAAATTTTCTTTTAGACCAAAGAAGCCCAGTTCTTTCATTTTGCTGCCATTTAGATTTCAGGCCATTTGGTTTCCCTTTGCTAGGGCCACATCTCTCTCAAACATGGCATTGGAAACTGAACATCACAGCTGCACTCTTAGCTGTGCCCTGCAGAATGAAAGGCCTGTTATCACATGTGTTAAGGACAGTATTTCTTGTTTTGTGCTAAATTCACATTCTTTTCCTACACAGCTCTCGCCACTCATTTCTAGCTTGCTTTTAATAAAAGTGGATTGACTATATTGAAGAAGGGATTTCTTTGCTGTTTTTTACTGCAGACAATTGCAGAAAAAGAGTATTTGCATGAAGATGTTATCATGTCCCCCAAGCAAATGAGGTGAAAGAGTCAGTTTTCTTCAGCCTGTTAAAGGAACGCACATCTGGAAGGAATATTTTAATTCTCAGACATATGGAGTGGGGAGCTTGAGGATACGAGCGTCACACATCACTTCTCCCTTTAAATTCTGTGCTCGTATCTCTGGTGCGCAGCAGGAATTCTTGCGGATCATGGACAGTAACCGAGGAAGTGTTGCCATGTTTTTACAACATCCTGACCTCTAGGCTGTTACTTAGTTGATTAGTTGGCAATACAACCCTACAAGGTTGTACCATCTTACTGCAACCACTTTGGATCTTAGAGGCGAACAGCATACTTGGGAAAAGCAACTGCAGGTGGCCAATGGTACAGAGAAGGACTTCCAGCAGCCTCCTTCTGATCCCATGCTTCAAGTGTGCTCCCATTCCAGCTCCTTTGGTAATTGCTGTAGTGAAGTATTGTAGAGAAGCACAGGAAGAGGCATCTGGACCCCGACTGTTGTGAAGGTTTGCTGAGACAAACACACACATGCTTATGGCTCACGGAAAGGGGAACAGATGTGCAGATTCAAGGAATTTTATCCCCCCCAAATGCTGCAGTCACAGCTAAAGAAGAAGTAAAAATAGATGTGGGAGCAGCAGCAATGGCAAGGACTAATGCTGAGAGGGTGCAGAGAGAGAGGAAAGGACAACTTATCACAGAAACAAGGATAAGCGAGGAGGGCATTAATTATGAACTGCCCTGAATAGTGACAGCACCCAAACTGCCTCCCTTAACAAGTTTCCTCTTTTGTACTTTCCCAGCATCAGCTGCATACCACCCTTTCCCACTACCAGTGTGCAGCACATATGGCTGCCTTGCAAGAATCACACAAATCATCCAGTAAGTTCATTTTTATTAGTAGCTTCTGCTTAATTAAGGGATGCATCATGCTTCATCAATCAGCTTCTGTGCATGTGAGTTGGTCTCAGCCACTCTGCTGATGCAAACTTCAAGCGGACACAGTTCTTGTGCTGTGGGCAAGAAGTTAGCCTGGTTAGCCTGAGTTTGGGCAGCCAGGGGCAGAGCTGTATCCCTGATTGTGAGAGGGAAGTTTCATGCCACAATTATGGCAATGGGAGATCAACAGTGACTTTCTGTTGTTATGCACTGACAGATTGATGCACAAAGTGAATGGGAAGAAAAATATTAGAGTTAAGACAGTGAAAAGCATAATTACAGGTTGAAAGCTTTGGTTTGTTTACAAATGTGAAGCATTTTTCGCTTTCTGGTTTTTAAAGAAACCAGGTAAACCAGTTTCTGCAGTCACCACTGATTTATGCTGGTGCATTTCAGTGCTGTAGAAGAAATTCCTGAAGATGAGCAAATCAGAAAGATGTGTCCAACAAAGGACAGTGCAGTGCAGTGCAAAAAAGAGATAGTGGGGCCAGAGTGTGGCTTTGCTTCCCAGACTGGACACATGAACCTGCACTAGAGTATATGTAGCTAAAAGTGCTGGGTTTAACTAACTAACTAACTAACTAACTAACTAACTAACTAACTAACTAACTAGGTTAACCCCAGGCCTGGGTTTGGCCTGGGACCTCTTCCTGGAGCTGCACAGTGAGATGTGTGAGTAATTACAGATAATCACATTCTCCAGTCTCTCTGTTAATGCTATAACAGGGCTGCCTGTTACCACCAGGCCATTACTGGATCTGGAATAATGCTCATAGCAGCAACTCAGTGAATTATTTTTTATTTGCTTAATAACATTAAAGGCATAATTGGTCACACTGCAGTTCAGCTTTTCCATTGCAACCTCTTTCATGGCCTCAGATACACTTACCCTGGATTCTTCCCATGCAGGAAAGATTAATTCTGATGAATTATACCAAACTCCATCATACTTATGCTGCTTGAAAGATTCATTAAGAAGTGGAAACTACCAAAACCCAAATCACTTACAACCAAAATTAAATTTGGCTTCGGCTTCTGATGTGAAAGCCTGTGCATTAACCCACCAGGTTACCTAACCATTGAATACATCCTGTTCAGTGAATGTAACACCATAACATACATGTAAGATACTTAATCTCAAAATACAAAAATACATAGCTCATCATTTTCCTCTGCAATTTTCATGGTAGCTTATCCTTTACATATTTTATTATTATTTTTATGATAGCTATTAAAAGCCCTCAGATGCTCCATGGATTGCTGGTGAAATAGTGTATGTACAGTATATATGTTTTTTAATAGTGCAATTAAGGTAGATCAGACAGTTCTACTATATTATTATATATATGTCTGAAATTAGCATATTTTAAATGCCTAAAAAAGGTTTATATGATTTTTACAACTGAAATGCTTCACTACACACCTCTATAAGTAGTTTTCCCAGTGGCTATGAATTTTAGGCTGTTCCTAGCTGCCTGATAGAAGAAAACTTGTGTGAAACTTACTATTTTATCTCTGACTATTCCAGTCCCTGAAGCTCAGGTGAAAGCTTTTAAAACTATATTAAAGAAAATAAAAGTAAAAGACCAATAAGCACACTATTCTTTCATCATCTGTAAGTTACAAAGGACCATTCAACAATGTTTAGGAATAACTTGGCACTATCCAGACTTGACCTGAACTTATTTCCCAAACGTGTGATTAGAAGGGACCCTTCACACAATCTTCACACAGTCAAAAGTGGAGATACACTTTCCACCTTAGCTCACTTCCTTAAATTTCCTAACCTGTGAGGTGGAGGAAGAGCAGAAAAATGAAGTTACAGACAGGGGAAGGCAGCCCAAAAATACTTCATGTAAGTTCCTTCCATCTGCTTGATTCACTTATCACAGTGTGCCTGGGAAAACAACCGGGGGATTTATAAGCAATCCTGCCCAAGTGCAGTCAGGTTGCTGGGAAGTAGCTGAAGTTTCAATGGCATCAAAAGGCTTTCACAAGGAGTATTCTGACCTTGCAGAAATTTTTGTGAGTTTTGGGAGTGGATTGGTGCTGTGGCAAATTTAGTGAGCAGAAATTTCAGGAAGCTTTTTTGTTTTTCTCCTTAGACCTCTCCTATACATTTCTCCTTGAATCTCCTATCAGTCACTTCACTGACTTTGTTACAAATACATGCTCAGAAGGAAACGAAAGCTCTCAGAGGGAGTCCCACAAAATATACATTAATTCTAATTTTGATCAAGTTCTGTACCTGAAATATATCTCCCCCTTATCAACAAACAGATCATTAGGTAAATTCAGCAAAGGAATCATTCACAACTACATGATGTCAGTGCACATAAAGGACTTTGCTTTCAGGTACTTTTTCATT